ATTCGGAGCATAAGACTAGCCGATGTAGACCATTGTGACAATGAACTGAATAGGCTTAAAATAATATTTCCTCTAGGCTTGATTGAAAATAAAATTAGATTAATAAAGAATAGCTTTTTGAATTGTGAATATGTAAGGAGAGATAAGGAGACCTTTTCTCATGTGTCGTTATTACCTTCGTTCATTCTCTCTAAAAGGAGAGGTGAACATGGAAGGAAGTGGGGAATAAAAACGGTCTTCAGGGAAACTACGACTCTTTCTTCAGTTATGCCCACATTTAGAGAGAAAGCTGACCCATTATCCAGATCGGGTTGCTACAAAATAATGTGTTCATGTGGTCGCTTTTATGTTGGAGAGACTTGTCGTCCCACTCGACAAAGCGTGGCTGAGCACAAATGCGCCTGCAAGGGCTGTTGGGTTCAAATATCTGAGCTTGCTGAGCACAGGCCAGAAACGGGACACGAGATTGAGTGGTCTCAAACTTGTCCTTTTGTTGATTATGACATGTTTGCGGCTAAAGGTAAAATTAGAGAAGCCATAAAAAACCCAGTTTCTCTTCGTATCTAGTCTTTTCTTGCCTTGGTTCTAATCATAGTAACTTCTCTGTAATTTTAGCTCACTCTTTCTATCTCGCGTTGAGACCAAAACCAACAAAAAAAGGCTCCTCAACAAAGCCAGACGAGTATCCGACCTTGTGCAATCGGAGTAATGGTTGTGACATGTATGTAGAAAGGGGGTGATAGGGCTCATCAAACCTTGATGGCCAAAGATAGACGTTCTTTTTTGCTGTCCTAATCACTTTTAGCCATCACTGGGGGTTTCCTGCATAAATGAACAAAAACAAGCACATACACATACAGAGACAGACACACTCACGGGTTTTGAAGCTGACATATGACCGTAATTAATTAAATCACTTTACATTTGATCAAATAGACCAGAAGTAGGGTATATATACCACTTTTTAGGGATTTGCCAGTGAATTTTTCTGACTCGTTAGCTTGAAATTGGTTGTGACGATGGTACCTTGCTCTGATGATGTTCGTGATATGACGGATGAGAGCTTAGCACCTTTTCATCGGAATCGAAGGAGATTGCCTCGGAAACAGTGTCAGCGTGAATCTTCCAGTAAAGCCAATCGACAGCTGGTCAAGAGTAATCCGCCGTAGTCTTCTGATGGAACCGACCTTCAAATCTCTTCACCCAACACTTTCACTCGAAATGGAAGTAAGCTCAACAATTATGAAACAAGAGATTTCTAGAAACCCAACTTTTCTTTGCAACTAGAACCTTCCATTTAAAATAACTCCTACCGAATCGTATATTTTTGGGCAAAATGTTGGCCCATCTAATCCCATTTGTTTCTTACGAAATCAACACTGATTTGATCTGCTCACCTTTATTACAACAAGAGCCTGACTGGAAAGTGCATAAGGACCAATCGCTTCATCCTCGACCATAACGTGGAACTTGAACTCGTGCACGGGCTCTCTCTGATTGTTGTGCAGTCGACTGGCGGCTTCAGGATTTGAGAGCTAGGACCATTAAATAGATAATTTTTGTCAGATAAAGCAGTGAAATTATTCAAAAAAAGTTAACCAACAAGAATCTAGCAGTCTGAATTTACACTAAAATTGACTGTATGCACTGTAATTTCATATATATATATATATATTTATATACATATTTATACAACAGTAAAGGACTAGTTTTCACGCTTCAGCCACATCTCCTGAGAATACATATTCTATCTAATTCTCCATGCCGGATTAGGCTGAATTTATTTCCTAATGAGCATTGAACTCAACTATTGATAAATATAGGAGGGTGTATATTCTTTGACCTGATTGGCAGTATTACAATAAGATTTTAGTGAGATTTGCATATCATTACTTGTATCTGCCTTTTAAGGATACTATAGCATAAGGCAAGCAATCCTATCAAGAAAATTTCATTTCGGCGGCAAGAAAACCTCTCCAAAATAAGTTAAAATGGCGGCTAAAAGCGATTGTGTGTATGTAGAATAGGGAGAAATATGATTGCCTGGAATTGAAAGTAATCTGGAAGTAACCATATGGGTCAGAGAAATATAACTCGGCAACTAGTACAGAGTATGTATAAGAGAGTCTAATTAGCTATTTTATAAGAGTTACCTCATCATCAGTCAAAATGTATATATGTTGCTTTCAGTTATTTTTTCGTCCGCTTGGGCATCGCTTCTTGGAGCTTAGAAGTTATAATTTGTTACACTTTAAGCATGTTAGGGCAAGGTCTAATGTACTGTATAGCTAAGTTGCACAATATGATCTATATGAATGTGTTCAGCAATAGATATGCTCATAGAACATAATTTTTTTCAAGAATGTGTATCATGATTTTTCCTCACAAAACGCATTTAAAGAGGGCAAATTCATGACACTAGTATCTTTCTTAGACGCATAGTTCGATGGTTATCTTGGCTTGCTATCATAGTGATATATAAATATATGAGGTTCATTTGAGCATACTATATCCCTAGATACAATTTTTAGCGCACCATCGAATACATGTACTATTTCATATTCAGACAATTCGGAATTTCTACTTGATTCGAATCCGATGCACTGATTCCATCCACTTGGGGCGTGGAAGAATAAGACTCAGTGAGCAGACATTGAAAAGGTATTCTACTGTCCTCCAAATGGGAAGATAAGCCAAAAAATAAAAAATATGGGAAAACGACTAAGATCTGGTTGGCATTGGGAAATGTTCTGAAATTAATTAAAGTTGTATAGACCAAGATGTTGTGACCTTTTATATGATCTCGGTTTCCTTTTGCTGTATAGTTGTTCGGCCTTGGTTTCGCAACTTGATCATATTGGCAGGAAGAACTTGGGGAATGCAACTTGTCCTGAGTCCATAGCATGCATGATCATTTCGGAGTCGGGCCATTAATTTGGTACATTCCCAGACATTTCACTGGATAGATGCCAGAACTATATAGCACATAGTCGGTCAAAGGATCGACTTCGCTTGTCTCTCTGACTAGTTATAGTGTTGCGCTAAGAATGTTAAGGCTCACTGATGATGTCGACTGCGATGCCAGAGAAACGGTTGGGAATGTACCAAGTCCATGGTACGAATCTGGTCCTCCAGGTTTTCCTGCCAATCTGCTCAAGTTGAGAAAACAAAATATTTAGGTATTCAATTCTAATCTATTCTTTCTCATACTTTTTGCTGTGATTACATCTAGCTAGTATGTTGCCTGAGATAGAAAGTATAGTTCAGTTAAACGAAGATATTTAATAGAAAATGTTCATAGTCAGA